CAATTTGTTTTTCAAATTATTCTTCTTTCTTACTTGTTTTCTTTTAGAATGAGATGAAGGGATGGTGGAATTTGCACAATAATATTTTATCAGAAATGGACACTTTAGAAAGAAACCAAGTTGAAGAAGCAACTGGTAAAATTCCACTTCTTTTAAATGCTTTTCTATCATTTGGTAATAAGCCTTTCCAAAAAGCATGGGAAGATTTTCACTTATCAATTGTAGTTAGAGATATAGGTGAGAACTTAACGTCTTTTACAGAAAGAAAGAAAAAGGAAGGTGAAATTGTTTGGAACAAGTATGTTTTATGATTCAACTATTTTTGAGTGAATCAAATAGAAATTAACTCATTTATTTGCAATAGTTATCTTGATTTGATGTCTAAGTTTGTATCACAAGGATATCTTTTAGGTTGTGCTGAAGATGATTATGATCATTGTTATTTCTATCGAGAGCAGGGCTACTGCAAGTATGTCTGTGGACTGGCACGGGATTACATGGCACAAATTCTTCATGAAAATGAGAAACTATCATTCTTTTTAGAAAATAGTTGGCAATATGGTATTAAAATGTTCCAAAACAATCCCTCAGTAAAAGGTTTTTATGTAGAAAAAGTATGTCTTGTTAGTATTCAAAAAGAAGGATTGATGGTTGGGTCAGAAAATTATAAACCTCTCAAAACAGTTTTTCTTGGAAATGATTTGGTGTTGGATACAACTCATTTGTGTGTATTATACATACCCTCAATTTGGAATTTTTCAGCTATTGATGGATTAATTGTAAAAGATTGAACATGAAAAGGAGACAGCACATGTTCTACCAATTCAAATAACTGTAAATAATCATCATTCTAAGTCAGATGATAAATTCTTCACTGATATATGGGGTTCTTTAAAATTGCAGCTTAATGATTACACAATATTTATCAAATTCATATGGATAACTCTTAGAAATAAAGAACCAGAATTAATACAATGTTGTAAAAGGCAATCCAGAAGTGGAGAACAAGAGATCAATCCTGAATATACTAGATTCTGGATTAATGTTGAAACTATCAACAATGACATCATGCGTTACTTGAGATGATGATGTTGAGAATTTTCTGGATGTAACTCCATAAGCAAAAATAACCATTGCAAAATAATAAAAAAAATTTTATTGTGAGTTGTATTAATTATTTTTGTTTTGTGAAAGAACTGATAATATTGTTTATATATTATAACACAGCCTTTCATCTCATTCTAAAAGAAAACAAGTAAGAAAGAAGAATAATTTGAAAAACAAATTGAATAATGTACATCATACCTCAGTATATCCTCCAATCAGTACTATTTTATCTTCCTGTAATTGCTTTCTTTGTAAATATAATGCTGATTTGTTATTTGCTGATGCACTTTTGATTATATAATGTTCACTAGTCATTTTATTAATCAGATCATACAAAATCTCTTTTTTACATATTGGAACATCATTGCTGAATGCAGCATTGATACCTTCATCATAATCTAAAGCATTGAATTGATCCACAATGAAATATAATCTGCGGTTATATATTCCTAATGAATGGCAGAATCTAACAATATCCTCAATTTTTTCACAATTTAAAATGACCTTAAATTCATCTTCTTTATAAGCAAATGTTAGAAACAGAGCTGATTTGATGTAGTTTAATGGATCATTGACAAAGACACGGCAATCTGGAAGATACACTACACACCTTCCAGTACGAAGAAGATAGCATGTCATTGCAGCAAGGATATATGATTTTCCATAACCCATAGTACCATAAATGTAATAACTCATGTTTGTAATACCTGCTTTCATTTTGTTAATATCTTCTAGAATCTTTTCAAACTTTTCCCTACCAATGTATTTGAAATAGTAGTTATTGTAAGTATTAAAACGATCTGTTGGTTTCTTAGTTCCAAGAAATGGAAATGGTAGTTCTGAGATTTTTTCTGGATTTGAATAATCAATTGAGTTATCCGAAATCTTATTAATTTTCTCCATAAGTTCAGTAGCTTTCCTCTGAAATATATCTGCAGCAGATTCTATAAAATGTTATCATTGACAGAATTCAAAATAATACAATCATTATTTAGTCAATCAATTGTTTAAGCATATTCACAAACTATGTAGTATAGTAATTATTCATTATATTATGTAAAATATTCATGCCTTCTTCCTTTCTAGGTTTTTTTACTAACATTTTAATGTTATAATAGAATAATAAGTAAATGAACCAGAATAAAACATCTAAGGAATATTGAGCATTATAGTTACCACTAGAATAACCTTCAATTTCTTCAAGAACATGCTTAAGCTGTGAGTATGAAGCAGTTTGTAAATCTGTGTGATTTATCAAAATTAAAATAAATTATAACAGGTTAACCAACATTGTTGCAAAGAGCTTCTTTAAAACCCAGCTTCATTCCCTTCCCCACTAATTCCTATGTTAACAAAACATACCTGATTAATAGACATAGGAATTTATAGATGATGTACAAATGAGATTGAATAGATGTTAGTCAATATTCAAATAGTATGCAAGTGAATAAATAAACAAAATGGAATGAATGAAAAATGTTTTTTTTTTTTTTATGCAATTTGTTCATTACCTTTTTCTTTATTAAATTTCATTAATTCTTGTTGTAGAAATACCACCTGATCTCCCCACCTCTTCTTCTCTGCTTCCAACGACTTCTCTTTTTCTTTCAACTCATCCATCTCTCCTTCATAATCTTCCTTCACTTTCTTCCTTTTTAAATCGTCTAGTCTCCCACTCCATTTCTCCCTCCAATCATTCAACTCCTTATCTGCCTTCTTGTACTCTGCCTTTGCATCATTTGATTCACTTTCGATTTTCTCGTATGTTGTCATTTTCTCTGAGATTAAAAAAAAAGTTTTACAATTAATTGTTTCTATAAATAATTTGGACCAATGATAAATTATTATATGTTGTCAAAACAACATCCTTGGAATGTTAATAATCATGTTGAAGGAGTGGAAGGAAGATCAAATGATTATACTGAGCTTTATGAGAATATAATGAAAGGTGACCTAGATTTTTCTACATTTAAAACAATTAGAAGTGATATTAATGAAATTGAAACTGTTGTGGATTTTATTCTTAAATTGTGTCAGGTAGATAGAGATAATAGGATGTTATCTGATCAAGCATTGCAGCATACAATGTTTAGTTAATTTAGATTTTCAATCATAATGGTAAAAACGTTATTTGCCTATTGAAAAAGTCTAGTGATTTTTATAAATTCAATTTAAATAATAAAGTTCATACGATGACCTTTTCTCTATTACTATAATAATAATGATTTAAATATTTTGCTCTAATATTTAATTAAATTTCTGTATAATAATAATGGGTTTGCATCATATATCTTACCTAAAAGTTTTAAAAAATTTATGATAAATAAACTTATGATAATTAAAATTTATTTCTTTATATATTAATAAAATACGGCAGGTCACCAAAAATATTTTTTTCAATTAAACTAGTTATTTATTTATTATTATTTTAAACAAACAAATACAAATTATTCTATTCTCAGAGTTACGAGGTAATAATTCTTCAGATAGACAAGAATTTAAATATATAGGAAAAATAATAAGTAAAAGTTACATGCCAACTTTTCGTTTTTATAATATATTAAATAATAAACGTTACTATTATAATTACACGCCAATTTTTCGTTTTTATAATATATTAAATTAATAAACAGCTAATACTAAATTCATTTATTGCAGTGTGGTGCAGAAAGTTGTGGGACTAGGTGCTTGCACCATATATTAATATTAATAATTTGTACTTGAGTCACGTGATTTAATTTACAGTCTAGACCGAAAATATCGGACCGTAACATCATATCACATTAAATATTTTTCTCTCAATAAACTCAATCTCAATAAAAAAAATTTCACATTCTTTCAAAAGTCAAAACCATGAATGATATTAGACAACGTAAAACCAAGCAGGCTTTAGACGAGCCCGATCCTCTTTTTATTTACAACTTTACTGACGAACCTACCAAATCAAGAAGAAATCAAGCTAATGGTTTAAAGGCGTTTTCTTTGGATTCAGTAAATCTGATCGTTCTAGTAATCGTTGCAATAATAGTGAGATTATATAAAATTAGTCAACCTACCTCAGTAGTGTATGTATTATTCTATTAAGATAATTTTTGTTCTATATAAATTAAAATTGCTCTTAAAAAAATATTCAAAATACTCTTCTTTCCCATTATAAAAAGTTTTGATGAAGTACATTTTGGTGGCTTTGCATCGTATGTTAATGAATTCTATGGTTTATTTTTGTCAGCATGATTATTTTAAATAACGTATCCAATATATATTTATTTATTCAACTAATTTTTGATTTATTAAAAAGCAAATATGCAAGAGGAAGATTTTTTATGGATGTACATCCTCCGTTGGCAAAATTGTTAATAACATTTGCTGGTTTGTTGGGAGGGTTTGATGGCAGTTTTGATTTTAAGGAGATTGGAAAGTAAGTTTCAATTAGAATTTATTAA